TTTGAGAAAATTGCTGAAGAACTAAAAGGAACAGAACAAGAATTAACTGGTCTTCTCCAAACCAGAGAGGTTTGTTTAAGGATGAATTTTTGTTTCAGACAACTTTGTAATCAGAGTACAGATTTACAAAATGGTGTATAATTTTTTAACTTGTAAAAGAGTTCTTCATAAAGTTCCTTTAAAAATTGTAGTACAGCTAAATTTAATATATTAAAAATAGACTCCATTGTGTAACATAGGACATAAAAATATTTAAAGCAGTATTATACATAATGCTGTAAAACCCAAACCCCAACTTACTGACATAACACTGAGTCAATGCAGACTCATAGCAACCCTGTAGGATCACATAGAACTGCCTTTGTGAGTTTCTGAAACCAGAACTCTTCATGGGAGTAGAAAGCCCTGTCTTTCTCCAGAGGAGCAGCTGGTGTTGGTTTTAAATGGCTGACCTTGCAGCCCAACATGTAACCATTACCACCAGGGCTCCACATAATGCTATAGATTATAATAATTATATTTTAATGTCATATTATCACATTTAAAATGTAGCTTTAATTAAATTTAGTTTTTAGATAAAAGTAATTTTATGGTATGTGTTATAGTTTCAGAATGTCTTTTATTTTAAATCATTTCTAATTCATAGAGTATTATATTGGAACTGTCTCATATTAATAACACCTTAGATTTTAGAATGTTTCCTTATTTGATTAATTTATTCTCCACAATAATATAGCAATTATAGTTGAAATTAGTTGCTTGTTAGAGTATACATTATGAAAATATATTTAAATATAGTTTTAGTGATAAAGTTTGAGAATTTCAAGATGAAACTTTTGCATTTATAAGTGTTATTTAAAATTAGAATGTTTATGGCATTACGTCTGTATAACTTAAAATATTTGGCATAATCTTGCCATATATTTGATTATACAGTCACTATACCTTCTAAAGGAAAAATTTGGAAAAACTTTTTTTGGTTATACATGCTTAATTTGCAATACACGTTTATTTTGCAGAAAGAAGTACATGATTTGAAAATACAATTAAATGCAATTGTGACAAGTGAACAACATTATTCAGAACAGGTTAAAGAACTGAAATCTGAGCTTGAAAATGAGAAGTATGTTTCTTTCTATAAATAGTTTGTGTTTAATTTATAAGATTTCCATTAGTAAATAAGTAAATTATGCTTAATATTTATTGGAGTGGACTTAAAGTTTTTATTCCTAATTTAATATCAAAATAATTTTCCAGTTTTATTGCTAAGTATGTATAACTGACGTCCAAAGAGTATATCACAAAGCAGGGAACTGCTTTAAAAGAACAATATATTACTTTTATTGGAGATACTTACTTCATAAATGCAATAATTATTTATATTTGTCTCTGGTGATTTTGGTAGATTATTTCAGAGGTTCATATAGCGGGAATGCCAAAATAAAAGTTTATTTTTTACATTGTCCAAATAGAGTATTTGATTGTATAAACGTCACCAAATCAGTAAATTTAAACAAAGTGTGAGGAATAATTAGGATATTACTTAGAAGTAAATTCAAGTAGGGGGTCTAGGGGTGAGCATGATAATTTTTCCTTTTTGTTACATTTTAGTTTTTGGTAAAAATGGGAAGTAAGTAGTTTATGCTATACTTAAATTTCATCTCCTTTTTCTTGCTTCCGGTACCCTTTCAATAGTACTTTTTTTTAATGCCAGGGTAATCTTCAAGTAATAATCAAAGTAACTTTTAATGACTATGAATTAATTATGTATACATTAGCATACACTTAAATTGTCCTTGGCATATTTATTTGCTTTTGTAAACCATTTATTGTATAATGAAATTCTTTTATGAATTTTCCATGCTAGTAAATGGGAGGAAATAATGGGTACTTTTTGAAATACTCTAAAGGTTTAGAAATCCCCCCTGACTTCATT